CACCTTTAACTTATACACCTTTAACTTATACACCTTTAAATTATTCACCTTTAAATTGTTCACCTTTAAATTGTTCACCTTTAGATTGCTCACTTTCAATTGTGACATCTGTGATGTCTATCTATGTGTTAAAAAACGGAAAAATTCAATTCTTATCAATCTTCAATATCACTGGTTGTGTCCACTGTTATCACTAGTGCTTGCCCCTTCTAACGTCGTGATGTAAATCAGTTAACTAACATCAACTCGCAGTTATATGTCTAACAAACTCGGGCTACGCCCTCGTTAGTAAACCATATAACTTCTCGTAGACGTTAGTTAAATAATACTTACATCATACATTTCTTGTGTAAAAAGGGAAAAATGCCTGTTTTTTTACTTTTGTTAAATTTTTGATGTTAATTGTGAAGATTTAATGATGTTTCATTCGCGATCAATGTTGAGTTAATATTCTGGTTACCATCTTTGTTTGAAATTTGGCCAATCTATGGTTTTGGTGAGGTTAATTCATCTACAAGCTTAATGCCAAGTGGATCCATAAACATAGTGTTTAATTTTTTTTACCCTGTCCTGCATACAATCGTGAAGTACAATCATGGTTGGTGTTTACAATCTTGATTGATGATTACATAGTACAATATGTGGTTACAACCAAAGAATCAATTATGGTATTATCAAACCTAGTGTCAATGGTTATCAATTGGTTAAAATTAATTGCTTTGATAGCCTCAGCGATCTGTTTTGGCTATGTTTCCAGTCAAAATTCATTGTGTCCATTATTATTAAGCAGTGTATGTCAATGTGATGTTAAAAATTTCATCACCAACTGTACTGGATCAAATATAACAGATCTTGCCTGGTTACATGATATTCCCATTGAAACAAAAACACTGGTTCTTAGTGGCAATGATATTCCGCGTTTACCAAAAGATGTTTTTGGTTTCAGACGTAAAGAGCCTAAGCCATTGGAGTATCTTGATTTATCAAACAACAAAATACAGTTGATCAATGGAAAAAGTTTTCGTGGTTTCAGTCTTGTCAAAAAATTGATCCTCAACAACAATCAAATTCTTATCACAGGTAAATCATTCTAAACTTTCTATCATTAAATCAATGATTAATTCGTACCAATTTATTATTTTGACTTAGGTGACAATTACCCCAAAGGATTGTTCAAAGGTTTTCATGAGCTGACAGAGTTACACTTGGCTTCATCGTTTGCTGACACTTCTAACCCACAATTTATGCCAAACCTGATATCTCTTTTAAAGGAAGGAAATCTAACCAATTTGAATATTCTCAATCTGGAATCTAATGGGATAACCAATTTTCCCGACGAGACAGCATTTTGTACATTACCATCTCTTCAAAAATTATTTCTCGCTGGTAACTCTCTGGATCAAGTTCGTGTTAATTTCACTTGCACGCCGAAACTCAGGACCCTTGATTTATCTCATAATCTGGTTAAACATTTAGACAACATTTCAACCTCTTTTATAGATGATCTTCCCAGATCTTTTCACATTAATCTAACGGGTAACGCATTTGCCTGTGATTGTCGCATGGATCATTTTTTATCATGGATCAAAAGAACACCTCTTTTTGTTATGGGCAAAGACAATTACATTTGTCTTTCAGGATATCCTGAAGTTAATGTACATCGCCGTCTCATTCAACTATTACCAGATGATCTTGAGTGCGATCCAGCTTGGAATAAATCTTCGACTTTTTCATTTTACCCTCACATAATCCTCGCCATTCTAACGGTTACAGTAGTTTTACTGCTTGCTCTGGTGCTATACCAAGTTCGCTCGCAAATTATGGATTTTTTCTTGAGCACTTTATCAAGCAGTAAAAACAAGAGATATTCAGCTCTGCGGAAGGACGAGAAAACTGAGCTAAACTCGGAGAGACGGGTCATTGAGATATCGGTTTAATTATAAGGACTCATACCATTAATCATAAATTTTATCCATCACATTGATTTATTTGTGGTTTGAGCTTTAAATTTCATGAATATCTTAAAAATTGGCCTCAGTCAAAGATATTTTCATGCTCAACAATATTTTCTATCTTCATAAGTCATCAGTACAATTAAATCTCAGATTAGTTGGATTTTATGCTATTTATTCAAATTGTTTAATTACAAATCAAATTATCTTTTTGTATCAATTTTTTGTTTCAATTTTTATATTTTGAACAAAAAGAATCTATATTTTAATCAATACAGTAATTTAACTGTACTTTTTATAATTATTTGATATTTTAATAAATCATTTGTAATAATGTTATCCAAATAAAAGACATCAGATGGTTATTTTATATTGTGATTATATCAACACAAAAGATTTTATGTTCAATCGATTAATAACTAACTTTGGATATTTTTAAATCAAAATTGCATGGACTCATTGTTTCCATGAATTTCAAGTTAGATTATAAAGCGATGTAAAAATAACAAAAAATTAAAAATATGAGCAGAAATGTTCAATTTATTGCACTGAAGCTAATTGATTGATATAAAATTATGAAGACAACCGCAAGATTATCATTACAAAGGTGCAATTTTATTACGACTGATGGTTAACTTTGTATTAGAGTTTCGTCTTTCCTCATAAGAAGAAGATTTCGGTCTTTTGTTTTCTTTTTGTGTGGTACTTTGATTATTAACAGTTTCTTGATCGGCTTCTTTATTATTCACATCCTCTTCGACAATCCTGTCCAACTGATCGAGACTTCCGAATATAAGAATTGTCCTTTCCTTTGGTTCATTGATACTGATCCTTCTTTGGA